ATAGCTGAGAGAAATTAAAGAAGACATATATAACAGAAAGATATCTAATGATGATAGATCAGCAAATGCAGTATTGTTAAGCGGTCAATTCTCTCCACGTTAATCTATAAATTCAACATGATCCCAATCAAAATCCCCAAAGGCTCTGGTTTGGTTTTGTTTTCCAGTAATTGGCAAGCTGACTCTCCAATTTATCTGGAAATGCAGAGGACCTTAAATAAATAACACAACTTTGAAAAGAAAAAAAAGAGCAGGAGGAATTATGCTACCTGATTTCAAGACTTATAATAAAGCTACAGTAATCTAGATAGTGCAGTATTAGTGTAAAAATACCTAGATAGATCAATGGATGGAATACAGAGCCCACATATGTACAGCCAATTGGGAAGGAGTGATCTTTTCAGGAAAGAATACTGAAACAACTGGATATTCATATGCCAAATAAGAACAGAAGAAAAAGAGAAAGAGAATCACAGCCCTTACTTCACGCCATAGTGTCATAATCAAAATGAATGTAAGAGGTAAAACTGCCAAAATAGGAAATTTGCATGATCGTGGAGTGGGTAAGTTCTTAAATAGGACATGAAATGAAAAAATGACACATTGGGTCACTCTTCCTTGTGTCTGATGTGTTGCCACTAACCTCTCTCTCCATCTGCTGCCTGGGCAGCGACTTCTTCTCCAACTAGCCCATGGTCCTTTGTAGGAGTCAACTTTGTCACTGTGCTAACTCCATTCAGCACACTGTCCCTTCCACCTGCCTGCTGCTAAGGTTGCGAATTTCTGAGTTAGGAAGTTCACCCACTCCCAGGCCCTCCCTCACCTCCAGTCCACTTCTCTGGATGTGGTGTGAGTGAAACTTAGTGGTCCCAGGTGGGCTTCCCTCTGCATGCACTGAGTGGCTCATTATGCTCCACTCTTTCCACTCCTGCCCTTCAAGTTGTTATATGAAAACAGCCTTCTAGAGATTCTAGGGGCAACATGAAATTCCTCCTACCAGGTTCATTCGATCACTTCAATGGGGATTCGCCTGCAAAAATAGCAGAGGCAGAAGGGGTTAGATCCCCACCTAGCAGCAGAAGTCCCTTTTGAATCAGACTGGGCACCAACTTGACTTGCTATAATACTGTTTGAAAGTACAGTCATGTGCCACTTTACAATGGGGATACATTCTGGGAAATGTGTCATTAGGCAATTTCGTTGTGCAAACATCACAGAGTGGACTTACACACACTTAGATGGTATAGCCCAGGGGTGGGGAACCTGCAAACCTAAGGCCACATGTGGCCTTCTAGGTCAGGTGTGGCCTTTTGACTGAATCCAAATTTTACAGAACAAATCCTTTTATTTTTACTAATACATTTTTGTTTGTCTTTTATACGTTAATTTTATTTTTAAAATGAAAATATTTAAGACACCAAAAAATAAAATAAGTTTCAACGAAATAATACTCCCAGGTTGACTGGTACAATTAGAACATTAGGAAGCCATAAGGGCTAAATTGACGGCTGCTATGCTCATGATTTAGTTCTAATTTCCCCCAGCCCCCACCTGACTGGCACCGCTACTGCATGAGACTGGTTGGCATGAGTTTATGGGGGTCAAGTACACCAGTCTGTTATCAGCTTTTGACAATGGTGTAATGTGTTTCCGTTTTTGAAGTGGAATTTGTGAAGAGGTGCACAGCTTGACAGCATTTTTAAATTCTGTCTGCTTAACAACCCATCATGTCAAAGAAGACCAAGACAATGCTGAAGGAAGAACACAAATTTTTTAATGAGGATTGGGAATTGCAATATTATCTTGTTTCTGCTAAAGGTAAGATGATTTGCTTGCTTTGTGATACTGCCATATCAACATTAAAGAAATTCAATGGTCATCAGCATTATAACCCTCAAAAGGACCACGAATATTTTAAATTAGAGGGAGAGGCGTGAAAGGTTGTGTTGCAGAAATTAAAAGGTGAAAAGCAAAACCAAAGACAATTCTTTCAAGCCACAATAAGACCTCGAAATAATGCTACTGAAGCAACTTATAAAGTAGCTTATATACCCAGGAAAAAAAGGAAGCCATTCAGTGATGTAGAAATTGGGAAAGAATGCATTGTCAAAGTTGTAGGATGCTTAGACCCCGATAACGTTTCAAAGTACAAACAACTTCCTCTTTCAAGGAGAACCATAACTGATCGGCAGCATGAATTAGCCTTCAACTTAACAGAACAACTTCATACAATACTTCAAAAGGAAAATATATATTATTCGATCACTTTGGATGAATCATCTGATACTACTGACTCGGCACAGGTTTTATACTTCATTTGGATCATAACAGAAGATTTTCTTTGCTATGAAGAGTTACTCACTTTGGGCACGCTTGCAAACATAACGCAGAGAATAGATATCTTAAACAACTTCCACGGTAAATGTCATGAAGTTGGACTGAATTTGGTAAATTTAGTGAGTGTATGTACAGACAGTGCACGTTCCATGACAGGGAAACCTGAGGGGTTTGTTGCACAGATAAAAAAAGTATAAAAAAAAGATTTAAAAGATCCAGATGCTCTCATTTCTTTTTATTGTATCTTGCATCAGCAAAATTTCTGTGCTAACGCTACTATTTTAAGTGACATTTTGCAACAAGTTTTAAGTATTGTTTACAATATTTATACAAATGCAACATGGTATCATCATAACATGCTAAAGTTGAAGGATGAGGTATTCAGTGTGGATTTGCCATATCAAAAGTGTGTTGGCTGTCACAGGGACAGGTGTTAGCCAAAATTTAATCTCTGTGAGAGCAGATAGTTAAATTTTATGAAGAACAGAATCAGCAATGTGAATTATTGAAAGATTTCTACAGGAATACAGCATTTCTGTGTGATATCATGTCAAATCAAAATGACTATTTCTTTGCAGGGTAAAATTAAGTCTATATATGATATGTGGCAAAAAAATCCAAACATTTTTAAAAAGCTATCTTTTTCAATACACTTCTTCAAAAGGAAATTTCAGATGAACATTTTCCCCAGTTAGCAAAGGTCATTGATGAGCAGGATGATATATGCAAATCATTTGAAGAATATGCAGCTGTTATAGACCTATTAATTGGAGAATACAATGAAAGCCTCACTGACTTTGAGTATCATGACATCACACTCAAATTAGCATTTCAGCCTCACCAAGTAGGTATCACCAAGGCACCTACAGAACTACAGATGGAATTGATTGAGCTCTCAGTAGATGATGTTTTAAAGTCATTGATGCTAAGAAAGACCCAAATGAAAAATGGAAAAGTACGGTAGAATACCCACACCTTCGGCAACATGCCCAAAAAATGCCTTCTTGCTTTTCAACCACTTATTGCTGTGAATCTACACTCTCCTACCTAACCCAAATCAAGACACCCTTAAGGTCAGAAATGACTGATACCCATCTAGAGAATCAACTGAAACCGAACCTCCATGCTGCAACCAAATATTCAAATGCTTTTCAACAAAAGCAGACACAACAAAGTCATTAAAAGGTAAGTTAACTTTAAAATTAACAAATAGTTTTCATTTTTTGAAATTGTTAAATACATAGTAGTTCGATTTTTATAAAATAATGTACATTTTTAAGTATATCTAATTGAAGTTTCTTGAATGCGGCATTATTTGGTTACAGCTAAATTAATGTGGCCTTCCAACATGAAAAGGTTCCCCACTCCTGGTATAGCTTACTACACACCTAGACTATACGGTACAGCCTATTGCTCCTAGCCTACAAACCTGTACAGCACGTTACTGTCCTGAATACTAGTAAGTATTTGTGTGTCTATCACAATCATATCTAAACACAGAAAGGGTACAGTAAAAATATGGTATTATAATCTTAGTACATGCGGTCTGGAATAAGTGTATTCTCCTGACATAGGGGGAAGGAATAGAGAGGACAGTGCCCAACCCTGCTGTTGCCCTACCGGCCATTCGTAAGCCCTTAGTATTACAAACTCTATTCTTACAATCAGCGGGTCAGTTTACTTCAGTCCCCACTTATTGAAAGTCCTTAAAATTAGCTTCCTTCAATTAGGGTTAACTGAGCCCCTTCCCCAGTGAGGAGTTCCTGTGGGGAGTCTGGGACAGGCGACTGGGGCTGTGCCTTCATCCGCCGGGTTGGGGCCAGGAGTGGGACCAAGTCTCCCCAGTACCGGGCGTATACTGCGGCCAAGGGCAGGAAAGGTCAAGGTATGTGGAAGTTGGAAAGACTGACAGACGCGGAGGGATAGGCCAGCACACCAGGCGAGAGAGAACAGCCTGAGGAAAGGCAGGGAGGTGGAAAGACCCAGAACATGTTTGAGGAATATCAAGAATCAAGTCTGACGGAAGCATGGGATAAAGTTAGGGAGTTGAGGAGACACGACTGGGGCCAGACTCCAGGGGAATTTGGCTTGGTTTGATAGGCACTGAGGGCCAAGTGGACAGGTCGGAGGCCTGCGGTGGGAGCGCCCGATTCCAACCTGGGTTCGCCTCAGAGGGCACGTCCCGGGGAGAGGGGCTCCCCCTCCCTAGAACAAGACGTCCTTGGGAGCCTGGTGTCACTGGGGAGGGGAAGTGGGCACACTGGGGGCCTGAGGTGTCCGTCGGGGCGGCCAAGTCAGGGGAGTACTGTCCCCTGGCGGCGCCGGCTGGCAAGTCCCTTGTGCTGCGACGGTGAGCACCGCGGTGCCCGCAGCGCGTCAGCCGCTGAGGAGTTACCTGGAGCCCCGTGGGAGGCGCGGGCTTTCCTAAGCGTCTGGAAAGGGACAGCTCGGGGCTGAAGTCCGGGGGGACCCGGGCTCCTTGTCCGCACCCGGGGAGCCCAGGGCAGTGGCGGAGCGCCTTCCGCGGAGTTAGTTCTCCGGGCGGCCCGCAGGGTGGCCCCGGGCGCCTACGCCTGCAGCTGTCGCTGCCTTATAAGGCGGGGCCGGGCGGCGCCGGGGGAGGGGCTGCGGCCGCCAGACCCCGTCCAGGGCTCGCCGGGCGGCGCGGAGCGGACGGGAGCGCAGCGCAGCGCAGCCGCGGGGAGCCGAGCAGCGCGCGGAGCCGGCCATGGGCAAGTCAGGTGAGCTCGCGAGCCGGCCGGGCCCGGGTGCGGGCATGGCCCCGGAGCCCCGGGCTCCCGAGCCCTCGCGCTCACCCTCCCCCGCCGCGGCTGGGTCCCCAGGGAGCGAGGCGGCCGCCTCGGCGCGCGGGACGCGGCTCCGGCTGCGATGCGGGACCCCTGGGTGCGGGATGGAGGGGCGCGCGGGCGAAGCGCCCCGCGGGGCGCGGGCAATTTCCGGGACAGCCAGGAAGCCGGAGCGGCCGTCAGGCCACGGGGAGCGAGGGAGGGAAGGCGAGACCGAGGGAGGGTCCCCCTGTCTGCGAGCCAGAGATTGCGTCAGGGAGGGCTTCCAGGCGCTGATGGGATTAGCGCTCCGCGTTCGGCCAAGGCGTGGCTTTTGCTTTGTTTCAGGAGGACAGAGTTAGAGTTGGAAAAAGCCACCAAACTGTGACAGCATCTCTTGCTGCAAAGCTGCTTGCCCCGTTCAACCTCCTAAGGACAGCTCTGAGCATCCGCTTCATTCTTTCGTTGTCTCTCCTCTCCTGAGTACCCCCTCTGTGCCAGGCTCCCCGTGTGCCAGGCTCAGTCTGGCTCCCCCTTTATCTCTGACCTGTTGCTGTCCATCCTCACCACTGGCTGTCGGATGAACTTTCTAAAACGCAGATCTCCTCCTTTCACTCCCTAACACCTTCCACCCCATTGTCTGCAGAGTGAAAGGACAATCTATCTCTTCAGTCTCCCTTCAGGCCCCCAGAAGTTGATCACCACCCCTTGCTTGCACGCTACTCTCCAGCTATCCTGAGGCTGGCACACTGGTCCCTTGCCCTGGGTTTCCCTACCCAGCACTCACCACCCCCACTACCCAGCCTGAAAATCCTCACCATCCTTCTAGGCTCAACTCCTGGGCTGGGAGCCCATCCCAGATTCCCCTGCAGAGGGACCACCCCACCCAATGTGTTCTTTGTTGCTTCTTCCTGCAGTGGGCTTGGGACACGTATTCAGCCATAGACCTGTTTCCTACTGACTCCTCACTGCCAGCAGTCAGGGCCATGTTGATCTCAGCACAGTTCCTGCCTCACAGGAGGCTCTTGATGAACAGCCGTTGAACAGAGTTCAGAAATCTGCTTTATCAGTGTTGTCAGCCTCAGATGAGTACAGCCAGGTCCCTTCTTGGATCTGTCCTCCAGGATCCAGACTCAAGAGGTACCAGCATTGGGAACAAGTGGCTTTCCCAGGCATTGGTCCTAACCTAATTAGCCTTACCTCGGGCTCTACAGGCAGGTCTGGCTTTCAGCCCTGGCTGTGCCAATCACTTGCTGGGTGATGCTGAGCAAGGCCCCCTCCCTCTCTGTTCCTCAGTTTCCCCATCTGTATAATGAGGGTGGCCCATATTATCTGCAGGGTCCTTCATGGTATGGAGAGGTGACATAATGGGTTCGTCATATAGTTAAAAGAGCAGGATGATAGGTGGAAATGGGGCAAAAGTATGGCAGATGGGAGAGAGCATTTTGAGATACCTACTTGGGAAATCAACTCCTTTCTCTGTAGATCTAGAAGAAAACCCACAAATTCTCTTCAACTACATCTTTTCAGTTGTTTCTGGCTTCTTCCCTAAGACATAGTTTTTCAGAACTACTAAGATTCAGCTGTGTGCCCACTCTTCTATCTGTTCATCCCTCCCTTCTCTCCCCATTCCACTATCTGTCAGCTCTGTCCCTGGCCATGGACACAGTGCAACAAAGTGCATGGCCCCTGTCCCCAACAGTGTTCATGTGGATTGTGAAATGAATAAATAAAGCTCATTAGGGGGATGAACAGGTACACATGGCTCCAGTATGGGATGGGAAGTGATCCAAGCCACAGGACAGGTGCAGGTGAAGGGTGGTGGGAGCCCAAGTGGGGTAGAGATCTCCACTGCATGGGAGCCATTGAAGGTGGTAGTCAAATCCCAGAGAGCTTAAGAATTTGGACTTTATTTTATGAGACCTGGGGTGCCATTGAAAGGCACTGATCCAAAAGCAGCAGGACCAGAGCTGTGCCTGGGTGGAGGTGGAGGATGGGGGGACCATTGTAGTTACACAGACAAGAGATGACAGAGGCATCTAGGGTAGGGGTAGGGGCTGGAGAGGAGGAGGACGTGGATTTGCGAGATGGTGGCCTTCAGCAGACTTGGTGACAACCTATTGTGAGGTAGAGGGAAGGGTCAGAGGCAAGCAAGATGGTGGTGATATCTTCCAGGCCTGGAGGTATAGCCTTGGGCAGGTTTCAGAGGAGGATGACTTCTCACTCAGAAGAGAGGAGGGGGCTGGAGCTAGTTGAGTCAGGTGCCACCTCTACCCTCCCACCCTGACATACACACCCAGGCACCTTCCAGAATCCTACCCAGGCCTATCTCCTTCATAGCCACATGCACTTCATTTGTCTCCTCCCATAAGACTGAGAGTCCCTGGAATAGTATCTGGCTTTCCTAAGGGTCCCTAGGGAAAGGTGACTTTTCTGGGTGACCCAGTGCCCAATGGGCCTTCGGCACAAACCCAACCTTGAAGTTCCAGGCTATAAGCCTGAGGCTGGTGTCTGTGCCTACAGGGCAGGTAGCATTCACAGATGTCTATCCATGCAGGGCCTCTATGTGGTTGCATGATGACCATAGTCTTAAGGAATCGGTCCCTGCCTCTTCTAATCAGTGCATAGGAGCCAGTCTCTTTTTCATCTTTAACCTCAGATATGCCCCAGAGCCTATTGGGATAATGAGCATTATTATAAAATCATCACACAACTGACACAGCTTAAATTCCAGAAGATACTTGGCCTGGTGTTGGGAGACTGCTAGGTCCCAGCCTTGGTCTCTCTTCTGGGCCTTAGTGTGTAGAAAGTGTGGTGTGCCAGAGAAAGGCAATGGCCTTGGGCTTAGTGGAAGCCTCTTCTCCCAGTATTATAATAGTGATTACCGATTATTAAACTCCTACTGCATGCCAGGCAGGGAGCTAGATATTTTCTGTTACTAACCATTGTAACAGTGCTGCGAAGAGTTATTATCAACTCATTATATAGATTTATAGAGGTTGAGTACCTTGCCCAAGCTCACACATTGACCAGTGAGTAAACAAACAGAACTGAACCCAGCTCTCTGAATTCCCCTTTCCTCTCTACCACGCTGCACACTAGCCCCCACCCCACTCCTGTTCCCAGCCTGGGCTCTGGCCCATGGGGACCTCCACACACCCTCTCATAATCTCTAAGAATGTTAGTGTCCCTCAGCCCACATCTGTTACTACCAGATGCCATCAGAGCAGAAAGGCCTTTAGGGACCAACTAGCCCAGGGATTTTATACGGAGTGGGGCCCTCAGGAGTCTACAGGGAGAGGCTGTGTGGGCTGGGTCAGCCCCAGTGGTTCCATTTTCATCTGTTGATTTTATTGAAGATTTCTTTCGAAGGAAGGGTTTCCCTGCTTTGAAGACGTGAAAACCGCAGATGTCATCCTTCCTTCACACACAGATGGGGAACCTAGGGCCCAAAGGGGCAGGGACTTGCCTCTAGGCAGGCCGGGCTGGAGGATGGGCTGCCTCTCTGCTGGCCTGAGGGAGGGAGCCCTGGCTCCTCTGATCACAGCCACTGGCTTTGGACAGGGGCAGCCTGGAGGAGGCTAATGCTGCGGGGTGGGGGATTTCTTGTTCCTGTAAGCAATTGAGCAACTCTTTATTGACATCATTCTGGCGGTTGTGAAAAGAGGAAGCTATACCTAAAGTGGAAAATGTGGGAGATTTGGGCCAGGGGAGGGAGCGAAGGGAGGGGTATTCTTAGATCTGGCTCTAATGTGGACTCACTGTGTGACCTTGGCCAATCCGCATGCCTCCCCCGCCAAAGACCCCAATTTCCTCATCTGTGAAGAAGAGAGAAATCCTGTCCTAGTGCCTTCACCGTACTGGTGTAAGAACCTCGGTCATTTGTTCACTCATTCACTTAGCAAATGTCCGAGCTCAGAGGTCCTGTGAGGTGCCATCAAAGATCAATTTAGAGGCAGGGAAGGGCTCTGACCAAGAAAGGATGGGAGCAGGTTCTCCTAAAGCCAGACACCAAAGGGATTCTGCCCAATGGTAACAATAATAATAATTATTACCTGGCATTTAATAAGCGTTCATTATGATCCAGTACAGTTCTAAAGCATTTACATGGACTTAATCTATTTAATCCTCACAACAACCCTGTGAGGTAGATACTGCTATCCTCATTTTATGTATGGGGCACAAACTGAGGCACAGAGTGATTAAGTAACTTGCCAAAGATCACACAGCTAGTAAAAGGCAGAGCTGAGATTTGCCTATTGAAATTCCTGGAACCCAGGCTTAAAAGAGCAGGAGCTACCCGTCTGAACCTTATCCTTTTTTTTTTTTAACTGTCACTTTTTAATGCTTTTTTCCTGATAGACAGGCAAAACCAGTTTTGTCCCAAAGGTGGGAGCAGGTTGCTTTCTAGCCTCTTGCCGTGGGGAAAGAGGGGCCCCCACAACTCCTGCCCTTGCCCCTGACTGTCACGGGCCTCTTTCCTGGGGAGTCTGGAAAGGGCTTAGGAATGAGTCAGGCGGGGCTCAGGGAGGCCTCAGAAAGGAGATGATGCTGAGGGAGGAGCCTGTCTCAGCCAAAACTCTGAAGGGAAGAGGCAGGGCACAGACTGCAGAATCTTTACACAGCCTCCAGCGCCCAGGGCCGGAGCAGCCCCACCTATGATGCCTGCACCCTCTGTCCCCGCACAGACAGCCCTGCCCTCCCCTCAGCCCCGGTAGCCAGGCCCAGGCAGCCCCTGCCACCTTTCAGCAGCTGTGACCTTCAATCTATTTGAAGCCCCAAATCTGCCCTCCCCCCCAACCTCTGCTCTAAAGTGCCTGATTTGCTTCTGGGGCCCTCAGGCAGATCTGTCTGTAAAGGCCTTGGCACAGTGGACGCTTTGGAGAAATCTTAGTTCTTTTCTCCTCTTCCTTCCTCCTCTTCTTCCCCTTCAGATCTGACAGTGCCTGTTTTCC